TCTGGTTCTGATCCACTCGTCTGGTTCTGATCCACTCGTCTGGTTCTAATCCACTCATTTGGTTCTGATCCACTCGTCTGGTTCTAATCCACTCATTTGGTTCTGATCCACTCGTCTGGTTCTGATCTATTCATGTGGTTCTGATCCACTCGTCTGGTTCTGATCTATTCATCTGGTTCTAATCCACTCATCTGGTTCTGATCCACTCATCTTGTTCTGATCCACTCGTCTGGTTCTGATCCACTCATCTGGTTCTGATCCACTTGTCTGGTTCTGATCCACTCGTCTGGTTCTGATCTATTCATGTGGTTCTAATCCACTCGTTTGGTTCTGATCCACTCATCTGGTTCTAATCCACTCATCTGGTTCTGATCCACTCGTCTGGTTCTGATCTATTCATGTGGTTCTAATCCACTCGTTTGGTTCTGATCCACTCATCTGGTTCTGATCTAATCATTTGGTTCTGATCCACTCATTTGGTTCCGATCCACTCATTTGGTTCTGATCCACTCATGAACTGCGCCGCTCCAGGTGGCTGCATGTTGGAGCAGCTCTGTTACTTTCAGATTTTGCTTTTGGAAACTTTAATTCCTCTTTTTCTGGATGTAAATCACATTTTCTGGATGATTGTTTCCTCTGGTATCAGATGCTGTGCAGCTCGAAGGATTTTTACTGAAACTTTTTTAGTTTTGGACATTTGTTATGATGCGTAACCATGGCAACAAGGCAGTTTCTACAACCAACAGCTGATTAACATCTCAAAAGCTCAAATAATATCTCAACTACAGCCCCAAATCTCAAATGAGTTGAAAAGGATGTTCTGTGGACGCATTCTCATCTACCTGCCAGCTGTGCTCGAGTGCCTGACCACTGAGATCCTGGAACTAGCAGGAAACACGGCTCATGACAGCAGAAGGACAGGATCGTCCCTCGGCACCTACAGTTGGATGTCCGCAGCGACGAGGAGCTCAGCAGACTGCTGGGAGGAGTGGCCATCGCTCTGGGAGGAGTTCTGCTCAGCATTCAGGCGGTCCTACAGCCTGGGGGAACCGAGAGGCCAGCCGAGTCTGGGTGGACGGATCGGACGGCATCTGCAGCCAGTTTCTTAGGATCCACTGTGGGATGGACCTTTACAAGAGATCCTTCCTGCCTACAGCATCAGCATCTATAACATCTCTTAATGAAATGAGGATAATGAGTTACAGCAACAAATAATTTCCCTTTGGGATTAATAAAGTATTTTTGAATGGAATTGAATGGAATGTGATCTGGGTAAGACTGGGATATAAAGAGGGTGTCACTTGGTTTGAGTTAACAGTTTTATTACGAGCGTCGTCGTGTTTCTTCTGTCCTCCCTGATCCAAACTAAGATCCCTGCAGAGTCCTGATCCAAGTCCAGAACCAGGACTTTGGACAGCCAACCCCAGATCATGTACTACCACCACCATGCTTAACACTGGGTCCAAGGCTTTATTTGTTCACATGGCTA